CACCACTCACCACTTCATCACTGTAGGCCCTTATCACTTCACACCTGGTTTATTAGCTCCCTGGTGGGCCTGCCTATCTCACTTCTCTTCCCACTCCAATCCATACTCTATTCAGCCACTAAAATGATTGTCCTAAAGTCTTAGTCCAATCACGTGATTCCTCATACTCAAGCTACAGTGGGTTCCTATTACTTCCAGGATCAAATGCAAAATGCTCTGTTTTGTATTCAAAGCCCTTCATAACCTAGCCCTCTCCTACTTTTCCAGTCTTCTCACACCTTACTCTCCACCCCAAGTACTCTCTCCTGGCTGTTCCACAAGTAAGGCACTCATCTCTTATCCCACAGCATTTTATCTGACTGTCCCCTATGCCTAGAATGTTCTCTGTCCTCTGTTCCAACTACTGACCTTTCTGGCTTCCTTTAAGTCCAAACTAAAATCTCATCTTTTACAGGAAGCCTTTCCCAATCTCTCTTAATTCTAGTGCCTTCCCTCTGTTAATTATTGCCTATTTATCTTGTATATAGCTTCTTTGTACAATTTGCGTATTGTTGCAAGGAAAGAACTAGAATTTAGAGGATTTGGGGGGAAAAAATGGGAACTTAGTTGGGACTTGAAGGAAACCAGGGAAGCTAGAAGGCAGAGCAGAAAACAGAGAGCATTCCAGGCATGGGGTCAGAGGAAATGCCCAGAGACAAAGAGATAGAATGTCTTCTTCATGGAACAATGAAGAGGTCAGTGTCACTAGAACAGAGTGCTTGAGGGTAGGGGAGGTAAGGTGCAAGAAGACTGAAAAGGTTGAAGTGGGACGTGGGCAGTGGGGGGAATGTTGGGTTATGAAAGACTTTAAACATAAAACGGAGGATTTTGCATTTGATCCTGGAGTTTATTGAGGGGAAAGGGTGGAGGGGACGGTGTGTGACACCTGTGCTTTAGGAAGATCACTTTATCGGCTGAAAGGAGAATAGATTAGAATGGGGAGAGATCTGAGACAGGCAACCTACCATCAGTCTACTGTAATAATCCTGATTTGAGGAGATAAAATCCTGCACCAGAGTGGTGGCAGAGTAAGGGGAGAGAAAGGGAGCATATTCAAGAAATATTGCAAAAGTCTTGGCAACAGATTGGATGTGGGGGGAAGGTGAGAAATAATGAGGAGTTTGAAGAGGACATCTAGGTTTTAAGCCTGGGAGACAGAGAAGATGGTGGTGCTTTCAATAGTAATAGGGAAATTTGACGAGCAGGGTTTGGGGAAAATATATGTTGGAAGCAAAGTGTGAAAGGTTTCAAATGCCAAACAGAGGAATTTTAATTTTATCCTTGCTGTTTAATCATTTTCAGTCATGTCTAGCTCTTTGTGACCCCTTCTGGGGTTTTCTTGGCAAAGATATTAGAGTGATTTGCCATTTCCTTCTACAGCTCATTTTACAGATGAAGAAACTAAAGCAAACAGGATTAAGTGACCTGCCAAGGGTCACACAGCTGGTAAAGGTTTGAGGCTTGATCTGAACTCGGGTCTTCCTGACTCCAGGCCAGTGTTCTATCCACTGTGCCACCTAGTTGCCTAATTTTATCCTAGAAATAGTTTATTGAGTAGGAGAGGGAAACATTCAGACTTGTATTTCAGGAAAATCACTTCAGCAGATGTGTGGAGGATGGATTAGAGAGGGGATATCAAGGAAAAGAGACCAATTTAGAGGATATTGCAGTAGTCCATGTGACAGTCTTGAAGACCTGAACTAGAGTGGTGGCTCTGTGAATAGAGAAAATGTGATGAAATGAGAAAAATGTGTAGAGTTAGAAAATAACAAGACTTTGCAATTCATTGGGTATGTGGAGTGAGGAAGAATAAGGAGTCAAGAGTGACACCAAGGTAAGTCACTGGGGAGAAGACAGTGTCTTTGGCAGAAATAGGGAAATTTGGAAATGAAGTGGGTTTGTAGGAAAAGTTAGTGGTTTGTACATATTGGGTTTGAGATATCCATGCAGTATCTGCTCTAAAATATTCAAAAGACAATTGGAGATATGGAACTCATGTATAAAGAAGAGCAAATAAGAGTATGACAAGACTCAAAGCCCTGTCATACATGCCATATATAGATCAATATAGATTTAGATGTAGATATAGATGTGTTACAATATAATTAATTTCCTTTGTAATCCTATGTGTTTTATTTTATGCATGTAAAAACTGTAGTTTCATCATAATGCCAAAGGGGTTAATTACACAAAAAAAGATTAGGAACCCTTGACCTAGGAGGAACTGGGTGGCTGTCTTTCAGATATTTAGGGGAAGGTCATATGGAAGAGAGGGAGGAAAAGTCCAGAGAGTCAATTCACAAATGAGAAGTAAAGACTTTGCACTAACTTTAATCTGAAATCTGTCCCTCTATGACTTGCTCTCTAGCCCTCTATCCCTCTCTTTACATTCCCATTGTTACCAGCCTGGTCTAGATAGTCACCATATTTAGACTACAGAAATAAGTCCTCTAATTTATGTCCCTATTTTGTCCCCTACCTATCTATTCTTTACCCTTCTTTGAAAGTAATCTTCCTGGGGCAGCTAGGTGGCACAGTGGATAGAGCACTGGCCCTGAAGTCAGGAGGACCTGAGGTCAAATCTGACCTCAGACCAAACACTTGACGAGTAGTAGCTCTGTGAAATCACTTAACCCCGATTGTCTCACTAAAAAAAAAAAAGTATGTTCCTAAGTCACAGCTGTCATGACCTCATGAGATAATGTGTGACCTGGTCATGTTGTGTTTAATTATGTCTCATGTCTAATCGTGGGGCAGCAAGATGTAGTATAAAGGACACTGGATTCGAGTCAAGGGAGGGCAGGGGTTGAATATTGCCACTGACACTCCCTAGCTGTGTGGCCATAGGCAAGTGGCATGAGGAAACTGAAGCTCAAATTCCTCATCTATAAAATGCAGATAATAATACTTGTAACGTCTACTTTATAGGTTTGTTGTGAGGGTAAAATGACATAATGCTTGTAAAGCACTTGATAAATTTAGAACACTAAAGAAATGTCACTTATTCTTGTTAATAGTATGTCATGATCCCCCTCAAAAAAACAAACAGTGGTTTTCCATTGCCTACTGAGGAACTCTTTAGCTTGGGGCAGCTAGGTGGCACAGTGGTTAGAGAGCCTAGCCTGGAGTCAGGAAGACCTGAGCTCAAATCTGGTCTCAGACACTTATTAGCTATGTTGCTCTGGGCAAGTCGCTTAACCAATGTTTGTCTCTGTTTCCTCCACTGTGAAATGTGGATAATAATAGCACCTACCCTGCAGGGTTGTTGTGCACTTAGCACGGTGCCTGGCCTGTAGTTAGTGCTATATACACATTAGCTATTATTATTAGCTATTATTCAAAGCCTTTCACAATCTGGTACCAATATAGCTTTCCAGTGACGTAAGATTATTCATTTTCCCTAGAATTTGTTTTATTCTCTTCTGTAGCTTTATCTAGTCCATTCTCCTCACTTAGAATGCCATTCCTCTGTCTTAATGTCTATCCTTGTGAAGATTTTCTTCCCAAGTCCTATCTCAAACTCCATCTCCTCCTAGATACCTTCCCTAATTATCCTTCTATACTTGGTGCTCAGTAGCGGTGATCAGCACCACTCACAAGGCACAGGGGTCCCAGGTGTTAAGTCTTTGTTGATGTGCCTAATCTCCTTGCCTAGACTGTATCTTCATCTAGCTATGAAACTCTCTACAGAGAGTATTTGCCTAGAGCCTCATAGGCTAGTGTTTGTTAAATGAATAACTGAAAGAGGGAATGTCGGTTCAGTTGTTTCAGTTACCCCATTTGGGGTTTTCTTGGCAAAGATACTGGAATGGTTTGCCATTTCCTTCTCCCTCATTTTTCAGATGACAAACTGAGAAACACAGCTAGTAAATGATTGAGGCCAGATATGAACTCAGGAAGATGAGTCTTTCTGACTTCAGGCCCACCACTGTCTCCACTAGGCCACCTAGCTGTCTATAAATGAAGGAGAAAGAAGAGTCAAAAATGTTCCCTGACTTACAAACAATAAACTCAAATGAATAGTGAAGTCATAATTCACTTTTAGGGAGAACTGGGCTTCTTGACCATCCCAAGCTTCTCAACTGGGCGATTTGGGCCAAAGGTTAGCCTGGCAAGAATGCTAGGGAGTGCTAGGAAGAGCAGTTCCTGGGATATGTGTAGCTCTAGGAGGCAAAGGGAGTGGCAGGGTTGGGCAGACTAGGTAGGTATGTAACCAGATAATTTCGTCATTTGCTCCAAAACAGCAGGATTTGGGCTTGGCCAAACAGCAGAACCTCCTCCCTCAGGCTAGTGGAAATCTGGAAAGCTCTTTGCTTACCCACCTGGGATATTTCCCTAAACTACTGTGCTGATCTGTCCAGAGGAACAAGGATGGGAATTCAAAATTTCCAAGGACAAAAAAAAATAGATCAAAGCACATGGGGAGGGCCATAGTTGTTGGGTGTGTGTGTGTGTGTGTGTGTGTGTGTGTGTGTGGAGGTGTAAGTGGGAAGGAATTGAAAGAGGAGAGTAGTGCCAATTTCCTTGGGAGTTGAGGCCATCTGTAACAAAGAGAAAGATTAGAGAACCATAGAGCCATTGAAAGAAGGTAAACACCTCCAGAGAAGGAAGAGAGAACCTAAGAGTAGTGAAGTGGTTTGGTCACCATACCCCATTACAGCAAAACCAAACAAGCTGTATGGGTGGGGCACAATGAAACAATGAGGTCATCTATGGGCTGGGTCACAGTAGATGACCTAGTTTTGTTGCTACCTGCTGGGTGAAAAACTGGATTTAGCTCCTCCTAGGGACTGATCAGGCATCAGTCCATTGTCTAAGTTAAACAAAGTGGCCGATTGCATTGTGGGTGCTTTTGGGGTATGGAGTAAAGAACAGCAATGTGGCTTGTTCTTCTTGGAAATTTAGCCAACTGGTCTGGCATCATGGAGATGTGTTTGGCCTTTGGGATGGTAGTTGCCCACCTTGCCTGGATCAGCTTTCTGTCTCCTTTTCCTAGAATGTCCAACATTATCTTCTAAGTCTGGAGGGGGTGAAAAGAGAATGATGGTTAGTGAATTCTCAGATCTTTATGATAGTGGTAAAAACTACCAGTTATAGTACTTAGAAGATTGGCACCAATGGTAGAGATGATACAGAAGTTCGCTCTTTCTGATAACCTTGGTCTGACCATTTCTGTTCTGGTACATACAGCCTGGGAGGGTGGACCCAAGAGAAGATTCCTTTAAAACATTGTTTTCTAAACCTTTCTGGTATTCTAGTATTCCATGAAATGTAAATGCCTAGTCTACAAGAAATTTTTGATGTTAGCAATAGTTATTAAGGAACTGGAGAAGAATGGAAGATTCTTCTCCTTGAATTTCAAGAAAGTAGGGAAGACCCTCCCTTATTAAACTCTGAAAGCCCAGAAAATATTGCCCCAGGAAAAACCCTGGAACAGCTGAACCAGAAGAAAGATGGGGTGCAGCAGTCCAGTAGTCCAGGTAGCTTGAGGGATTAACAGGAAAGGCCCCTTTTGCCCTGGGGGAAGGGAAACAGTCTAGTTCTTCCTTACAACATCACTAATGTGAAAATATGTTTAATAGGAATGTATATGTATAACCTATATCAGATTGCACTCTGTCTTGAGGAGGGGGGTGGAGAGGGAGGGCGAGAAGAATGTAAAACTCAAAAGCTCATGGAAGTGATGGTTGATAAATCAAAATTAATTAATTAAAAAAATAAATCCCATAGTATCTAATGTTGCTCGGTCTTTGTATATAATTAAAAATATTTGTATGTAAATTAATACCAGCAGTTTATAATAATTTGTGGAACATTCTTCTTATCCCTCACTTTACTTAGGCCAGGGAAAATGTGAAAATCCATTTTTGAAATGAGGGTCTAAAAAGTTAAAAATAGAATTTTAGTGACTCTACTTAGAATTTAATGTGCATCCTTGTAAAATATTAAATATGTTATTATTATGTTAATATAACAGTTACATGATTTTTTGTTATTATCAATGATGGTCACCTAGTATAGATTTTAAATGCCATCAGTGAATCTACCATTTTAAAAAAATTTCCCTTTTTCTAGTAAAAACATTTCAAAGTTTAAAAAAACTAAGTAGGGAAGAGAGATGGAATAAAGAAGAGAGGGTTATGGGTTATATAAGCAAAAGCAAGCGATAGGCTGGTGTGTTTTGTCTCCCATGGAAGGAGCAGGATACATAGCAAATCCAGCAAATATTGCTGAAAGGTGTGGTGTTTGTGGGTACTGATACATGACACTGGGATATAGCCAGAGAAATAGTGGAACCAGCTCTGACTGGCTCAAGAGAAAGACAATTGTTAAATTTTCAGTGTGAATAATTTATACCTTGGAATTTGGCAAATACTACAGAACACAGTTTAATTTATTGTTTTGTTAGTTGTCTAGACTTAAGAAAGAGATGGAGAAAATGTTAATAATGCAAATCAAACTTAAAAGTGTGTGGTGCATTTTTGGAGAGCTGATTTTTAAGCATTTTTCAATAGACCTTTGATGAAGCAAAGAGCTGAGTATAAATCAAAGATACACATGTGGTAAATTTGAAGGGAAGGTCTGTTGAAAGAAATGGGAGACCAGATGAGAAAAAAGAGAACTCCTCAGCTCTCACACCTTATCTGATACACTGTGGTCCCTGATGTGGTCCAAGGAGTCACCATTCATAGGCCCACAATATTGTGCTTCCAGAACATCATTATACAAATAGATATAATCTCGATCTATATCATCTATAGATATAATCTATATATGTATATGTGTGATGTGTATATACGTACACACACATTCATACATACATACATACATCAGGACCCAAAGATAGTAACATCTTTCCTCTAAGAAACTCCTCAAATCTCTCTAAATTCCTGGATATCCAACTGTACTCTAATGAATTTATTATATCTGAGGCCTACACACACTTGCTCCAACCTGATTTCATTCTCCATCCCAGGCATCAATGACCTTAGTTCTATTAATTTCCATGATTTAACATCAACACAGAGCACAGTCATGTGACTTCTCACCTCTGCCCTGAGTTGTAAATGCAACAAATGTAGAATATGCTCAACTTGGTTTTGCCATCTCCAAAGCATTTTCAAATTTTTATAAAAAATTTTTGCCATGTCAGAGCTGGATTCCTGGCCATTAGGCCTCTTGAAAGTAGAAAGATATTTCCACTGAAGCTCCCCATTAGCCAGTCCCATTTCACTATGTAAAAGACCCTCCTATTATGCAGTGCTACTAATACGCATGTAATAATGACACTTATTCCTCAAGGGAATATGGTAAAACCCACATTTTTCTGATACTGCTTCTTTCCTCTTGCCTACAACATGGGAATATCCTCTGAGTGGCCTATATGATTGACTACAGCTTCCCTGGCAAAGCTTCCTTCCCTGTCCACTCTGACTCCTCACCTTCTAGTCAACTGTCTCTGGACTTGATTGGCCCAAGCTTCCCTGATACAGCTTTCTGATCATCTAAGGGCATAAAAAGTCCCAGTTACATGGACTCTAGGCTCCTTGGACTTGGTAGATTCCTGAAGCCCATTAGACACATTTCTATATGGAAGTGACAGGGACCATGTCTAAAGAAAGTGCCACTGTTGCATGTCCTTGCCATATTAGGGTAAAGTAAACCTTTTGTAAATGGACAATAACTTATGAAGTGCCTCATTTCTTGAATGAATGAACTTGAATTAAGAGCCATGCCTCCAGAAAAGGGCATGAGTCTTCTCCTGAGAAAATTCCCAAATTGGCTTACTGGACTTTCTCTGCTATGATATACCTCCCATCAGATGGAGCTTTTTTTGACTAATCCAGTGGGCCTCTCCCATTTTTTTACATTCAGAAGAGGTTTCACTGTGGGACTCAAGGGAATTGGTTCAACTCCAACATCACCTTCTATCACGTTCCATCCATCCATGTTCCAGTGACTTAATGGACCTGGCATTGTATTGTCCCCTTGATCTCACCCTGACATTATTCTCAAAGGAGATATCCTATCTTGGACCTCTAAATAAAAGTAGAGAAAAACTCCTTACTTGATGGAATACAGCCTCACCATCACCACTATATTTGTTTTCTATTGAAGCTGGTCAAGGTTTTTCCTTAACTTCTTGTACAGGTAAGAATCCACATGTATTTTTAAATTTGATCCTGAATCTCTGTATTCTATTTGCCCCTTTGAGTTATCCTTTTATCACATGGAGGATTAGAGATATCCCAAACCATTATCTAGTAGTTATTCTCTATCTGATTTTTTTTCTAACTTATTATGTTCACATGATTCTGACAATTTATATATAATACATTCACAGTGGCTTGTCCTAAACCCCTTCCTAGGTTGACTATCCTACTGTCCCCTAACTCACTTACATTGTGTTTCAAAACTTTGTGCATAAAATCTTCACTTTCACACACGTGGCCTATTACAAATACCAGTAAACACTTACATCAGTACTTGCAAGGTGGAAATATTTTGCCAATAACTCTATTGGAGGATCACAATGCAAATATTTAGCTACTTACTTAAGAACAGTATACAGTTGACCAAGCAATTTAGTTAAATCTGATGTAGCTCAGCAGCAGAAATAGTTTAGTCACAAGCATACTTAGTCACAAGCAAGTGATATTCTAATAATAACTATAATAATAAAGATAGTCACAACACAGGTGTTATTCTTGTTGGTGGCACCAAATACCAATCATTAATATTTATAAATGTTTGCCCAGTGTATGAGGGCCCCACCAAGAAAGACTTGAAAAGATACCAATTCCAAAACCAGCAGGAAAAGAATTATATCTCAGAAAAATCCAAACAGCACAGCATTCATGATAATTGATATACAAAATTCTTCTCAAAATTAGACACTAATAGGCTTAATTCAGCTTCTAACTCAAGTGATAAAACAAATAATAGTGATAACAATAAAATTCATTTTAAAATCAAGATGAGAAATAAATCCTGGTAATGTTGCTATCATGGGTTCTTATGCAATATTGAAAAAAAAAACAAGAAAAAAATTGATGAGATTATCACAATGTGGGGCAGCTAAGTGGCACAGTGGATAAAGCTCTAGCTTCGGAGTCAGGAGGACCTGAGTTCAAATCCAACCTCAGACACTTGATACTTACTAGCTGTGTGACCCTGGTCAAGTCACTTAACTCCTATCGCCTCTCCAATAAATAGATAAAATAGATTATCACAATGTAACATTGACTTACATCCTACAGAGCAGATTTATAAAATATGACCCTCATTCATAGTTATGCTACACTTAAATATATAGTTATGAACTGGCTTGTGCTTATGCCTCCAATTAGAGAACAAACTCTGACGACTCTCTCCATTGTACCCTCACGTCTCAAACAAAGGGAGACCAGGCAACGTAAGGACGGGGCTAACCACAGGCGTGAGAAATGGTATTAAGTCTGGCAAATGTATTCTTTAACAGAATTTTCATACACATACACACACACTCAAATTACCTGTCTGCTGCTCTATTTAGAACTTATTTCTCATGATCCCTTGAGAAGGGAACTGCAGATGTGGCAGACACTTATGCTGCCACATTGCCCAGAAGCTATGGGATGACAGCCACCTCTCCTTTCTCCTCTCATTTTTCTATTTGAGAGACCCAAAGCTATGGTTTTCCCCATATCAATGAATGGCTATGAGAACTGAACAATAATGAAAGCTAAGTGCCACAAAATCAACGCTTTCTAATTGTGGTGCCGTAGAAGACTTTCAAAGTCTTCTTTGGAAGACTTTTGAAGAGTCCCTTGGGCAGCAAGAAGATCAAATCAATCAATACTTAAAGAAATTAATTAATTCAGGCTATTCACTGGAAGGCCAAATACTGAAGCTGAAGCTTAAATCCTTTGGCCACATAATGAAAAGATGGGACTCATTGGAAAAAACCCTCGTGTTGGGAAAGACTGAAGGTACAAGGAAAAGAGCACAGCAGGGGATGAGATAGACAAATAGTGTCATGGAGAGAATGAACATGAACTTGGACAGACTATGAGAGACAATGGAGGAAAGAAGGGTTTAGTGTGCATGGTCTACAGAGTCACAGAGAGTTGGACATGACTCAACAATTGAACAACAGCAACAATTCCCACCATGACCCATTAGTGAAATCAGACCAAGGGCTCAGTTAATGTCCCCTCTTCCCAAACTGGAAAGAACTACAATCCCATGATTCTTATGGTCAGCCAGCCCTTTGCCATTTAAAATGTTTTATTGATACCCTTTTCTTTTCCCTTCCCTTTCTCTTTCTTTCTTTCATTCTTTCTTCCTTTCTCTTTTCTCCCTTCCTTCCTTTTGTTTCTTTTCCTCCCTTCTTCATTTCCTTTCTCTCTTTCTTTTTCTTCCTTCTTTCCTTCTGTTTAGCCCATCCCCTCCCTTCCAAGAGTGGGAAGCCTGATTCCTAATTAGTCTTCTGGAGTCATGATCTGTCACTACATTGACTGCGGTTATTATATTTTTCAAAATTGTTTCCTTCACAGATCACACTTCAGGTTCAGAAACAGTAGGATAGACTGGAGCTATACACCTCCAGAAAACCAGGGTGTCTTAGCATTATCTAGCAAGGGAATGTAGATAGTTTATAATTTTATTCACCAGGAGGCATTCTACCCCAGCCACCAGCTCAGTGGTCTTATCAAAAAAGATTCTCTGTGTATGTGTACACGGCCCAGTTCAATGAAATTATTGGCTTCAAAGAGATGGAACCTTACTGATTAGGTTTTCAATTTATGTAGGAGATGAAAAGTAAAATACCACTCTGAAACATTAAGAATACAGAATCTGTTTTTAGTCCCCATCCTATATTTGGGAAATGTCTTGCTCTTTGTCATCCAACTCTAATATTCATATGGCTCCTTCAATGGCCAGCCCAGTGAATTATAGATCTAATATACAACAGGCACTTCTGGACTAAAACATCCAATTAAAAGCAACTTTACCAATTAGATACTTGTAGACCATATAAGTTACAAGGATCCTTATCTCAACTCCTACCCTGGAGACTAGGGACTCCAAATCTTGAATAGCTACATCTCTATTCAGGGTTGGGGGGGGTACTCCTGAGGATTCAGGGGTTTTCTCTAAAGTCATTAGCTTGAACCTAAACCAGTGTGCCTCCCCCACTGAGATTATCAGTTGTGAATTAGTTGGTCAGTTAGACTTAAAGTCATTTTTAGAAAGAGATATCTATCTACTAAGGTGATACAATAAGAATAGTTGGTACAAAGTATCCTCCCTCCTCCTCCCCAAACTGTGACACACTTTCCCATAAATGTATAGAGTCCAGGGGAAAGTGGGCTCAAACTTAGAGAGCACAGGTGTGAATGGAGTAACTCATAGCTGCTGCTTGTTGGAAGTCCTTTTATCTCATTTGTGGGGTATTCAAGAAATTCCCCTTAAACATGGAGCAGTCTCTTTGCTGAGCTCCTTAAAAAGCCACAAATCCATCTGTCTCTGTCTCCTGACCAGGGTTGGGGAACTGCGGCCTCAAGCCACATGTGGCCTTCTAGGTCCTTGGGTACAGCTTTTTGACTCACTCTAAGTTTTACAGAACATATCCTTTTATTAAGAGATTTGTTCTGTGAAGTTTGGATTCAGTCAAAGGACTGTGCTTGAGGACCTGGAGGGTCACATGTGGCCTTGAGGCTGTAGGTTCCCCCCCCCAAATTTTGTGTAGGCCTGCTCTAGAGAGAGAACTGATGAATTCTTGAGTGCAGATTGAAGCATACTTCTTTAACTTCATTTTCCTTGAATTTTTTTGAAACATGACTAATATGGACATAGAAACATGTTTTGCATGACTTCACATGTATAACTGATATTGCTTGCTTTCTTGATGGGTGGGGTAGGAGCTGGAGGAAGAAAGAATTTAGAACTCAAAATTTTTTAGAAAATGAATGTTAAAAAGAAATAAGTAATGAAATTTTTTTAATAAAAAATTATAAAAACTACACTTTTCTTTCTTAGAGCACCAGGTAATGAAACTCAAAAGAACCACTGTCTATTCAATATAGACCCAAGAGGCCGAGGCATTCAATAAGAAATTCAATAGTCTCTGCCAGTTTTTTCCCCTCCAGACTAAGACTTCAAACAGCATGTAAAACACCTGGGTTAAGAACAAAGTGGGATTGAGAAAAGTATGATGGGAGATGAAGCAGGCCCACAACCCCTTCCCAATGATGGCCAACTTTGTACCATAATATTGAAAATGAAAGGGAGAAGTATTCATCACCTCTCCATAGACACTAGCCCCACTCAAATAATGAAATAATCTCCCTAAGCCATAGGTCATCGAAAGGGAATAAAGGAATCTGAGGTCTCAGCTCCCACTGCCTCTACTGGTAACAGTAAAAAAACGGTGAAGAAATGGGCATTGGGGAGTTTCCCAAAGTCAGTAGTCTTAGCCTGCTTGATGTGGGGGGAACAAATACAGAGGAGCTGGCAGAGAGAATCAGTCAACATTTATTAAGTGCCTATTATTTGCCAGGCTCTGTGCTAAACATTGAGCATATAAAAAGAAGCAAAAGACAGGCCCTTTCCTCAAAGAGCTCCCATTCTAAAGGGAGAGAAAACAAACAAATATGTAGAAACAAGTTCTATACAGGATAAGATACAATTAATAGAGGTAAGGCACTAGAATTAAAAAGATTTGGGAAAGACTTTCTCTGGAAGATGGAATTTTAGTTGTATTTCAGTGCCTTCTTTTAACTTCAAGGCAGGGAAGATGGAGATTTCTGAAATAAACATCACTGATGATGACTAAACTATATAGTTCCAGAGATTCTCAGTTTCCTGAGTCAAATGGGGCCACCCCAGGCACCCTTTAGTTGTTTTCCTAGTTTAACAAAGGTCATGCTCATAGGTACCTTTTCTGGTTCCAGGGGACCATGTTGGAATGTGGGGGCCCTTCATCCATGTGGTAGCTCAGCACTTAGAGGTGTTGGTGCTTTCTTACAATATGGTGAGCCTTGAGTGGACCTCGGATGCTACTCATCTTGCCCTTACTCTGATAGCAAAAGGTGGGGCAGGATGCTACATCAGTTAAAAAAGAGACAGCTTCAAACTCAGCCTTCAACTCTCATGTAGCCAGTGAGGATTGAAGAAAGATTGGCCTTTCTCCATCTTGGCATCGTGGCAACCATGCCCATGAGGCAGGTAATTCAGGGGTATTCAACTTTCAGTTCAGGGTATTCAAATAAGCTTGTGCTTGGGCTTTTTATCTTTTGAGTTTCTTTTCCTGGGTGGGTAAACAAACAGCAGCCTTGAGACGGGGATGTCCTTAGAAGTTCAGTCTGAAAGTCTGTGAGTATAGCAATTGGCAGTATCCATCAGCATGATTGTGACTGATAACAGAAGCTTCTATATCAGAGAGAATACCCACCAGCAGGACAACTGGCCCGAGACTGACTTTTTTACTGCTAGATCTAATAAAGGTGAAATGCAAAATGCCTAATTAGCAGTGCTGAAAACTGTTATTCCCTGATAAGGCCATTATATCTGTAGATTTTCATGGTAGTTGTAAAGGAAGTTACTGAATCTTGTTCTGTTAATGTGGAGCTGTGAATCATTTATGTTCAGCTTATCTTAGGTGTGTAGTAAATTACCCGTTCCATACCTAACTCATATGGTACAATGATTCCCTTATTTCTCCACCCACTTCTTAGGGAAAGTCCTTCTAAGCAGGATTCAATAAATAGAATTTGAGAAAAGGGATCCCTCTCTCAAAGGCAGATTCCTCTAGGACTAAACCTGGTCTAACAATATCATTGAGTCTAGAACAGGGTGGGGGGGAAAGGACCTCAGCACGTTGGCCCCAATAGGGGTTCCTCGAGGTTAGATTAGATAATACAATGAGTATTTTCTATACTAGAAAGTATAATGAGTAATCTTCCCCTTTCCTCTTGAAAGATTGATGGATTTTTGAGGGAACATTAACTGCTTAGTTTCCCCTTACTGCAAGAGGGGGAAGCAATTTAGGAAAAGAAATTGGGCTAAGCTATAGTCCTTGGTGAAGGTTGGAGATGGAGGAGTTGGGCTGGAATTAGGTAGAGTGTTAGAAATGTTTCCACTAGTGTATTTCCTTGTATCACAATGCTTGTTATTTTAAATAAATTTCTCTGTTTTACTAATATCCAATATATGATTTTTTTTTCCTGTGGTGGAATTCTAAGAGGAAATGGGGGATTTCCAGTGGTATGAGGGTCTGGGAACTAGTGAATCTAGATATTGGAAGTCATAGGGGAACTCAATAACTCCTCATTTAAGATTACACTCTCCTTTACAATATATTGCAAATACCACCCTCCCAGAAACTGATTAAATAGGGAGAATACTATTTCCCTTAATATTAACAAATATATAAGCAGATAATAATTATATATCCCCTTAAAGGGCTATATAAATACTTGGTTGTCATTTAAATTCCATTCTCTGTTTCCTATTGCCTGCTCTTTTATTCCCATTCCCCTCATCCAATACTCCAATGTCCCTCTCCAAAGCTACCTACCTCTTCCACTGGGCTTTCTGGAATGCATGCTCCATAGGTAACAAACTTGGCTTCATCTTAAATCTTTTCCTTTTCCATTCCTTCCATCTTCTTGTACTCACTGAAATCTAGCTCCCTTCTTTTAACCTCACATTCCATTACCATCCTCAGTAACCTCTCCTTCGAGGATCATTAAATCTGTATCTATGACCCAATCAAAATTCTAGTAGCTACTGTCTACTGAACACCAGCACAGTCTCCTTCTTTTCTCGTGAGTTCAGTATCTAGTTCATAATCTTTCTTCCCCAAATCCTGTTCTCATATTTTAGAGGATTTCAACACACTTAACTGATACTAGCTCAAGCACTCTAACTTCCCAGTTCCTAATTTACTCATTTCCCCACTCATGTCCTATTCCACCCCCATCTCAGCTATGCATAGATATGACCATCTTGATCTTGCCATCCCCAGCAAGAGTTTTACTTCCGTGTTTATGAACTCTGAAATTTCCTTATCTAATTGCAGTTTGTTGTCATTCCACCTCTACCTTTCTTCCTAGCATCCCCAAATCCTGTTCTTTGTCCTCACTTTGACCTTAATCCCTCCACCCCTCAGTTCTTCCCTAGGCTATCACCCTGTACTGGCTATATTCTCTTCCCTTCCATATGTTGACTTCTTGTGTAAACCAGTTTAACTCTATATTGTTCTCTTCTCTTGAGTTCCTTTGTTCTCTTTCTCATCAATACCCCTTTCGATGCCTGCCCCACCCCATTTTACAAACAGGGGTTGGAGGGGGCACTTTTTAACAAATTAAACAAAGAAAACAAATCCACACAGTGGCCGTCTTGAAAAATGTGTTTCTACTTTTTCATAGTCCACATGTAAGATGCTTCATCATAGGTTCTCTAGAGATAGGCTTAACAGTGCTTTGATCAGAGTTCTTAAGCCCTTCAAAATTGTTTTCCTTTACAATGTCATTGCTCTTGTATAAATTGTTCGCCTGTTCTCACTTTACTCTTCATCAGTTTCTATCTCCCAAGTTTCTGAAATTATCTTTCCTCATTTATTACTGTGTAATAAAATTCCATTACATTCATATACCACGATTTGTTTAGCCATTCCCTAAATAATGGGTACTGGGGCAGCTAGGTGGTGCAGTGGATAGAGCACCAGCCCTGGAATCAGGAAGGCCTGAGTTCAAATCCGGCCTCAGACACATAACACTTACTAGTTGTGTGACCCTGGGCAAGTCACTTAACCCCATTGCCTAACCCAACAAAAATAAAATAAATAATGTGTACCCTTTTATTTCTAATTCTTTTCATTATTTTTACTTCTAAGCCCAACATCTAAACATCTGGATCAAGAAGTTTGTTTTGTTTATGATTGCTCCATCCCTAGTATCATCCTTACTATTAACACAGGCCCCCCACTCCTGTCTATTTCCCAAGCTCTGTGTGTGTATGTGTTTGCTTAACCTTCCTTTGTCCATTTCAGACAAGTGAGGTTCATCTGGTACTCACTGCCCTCTCCTTTTCCTCCTTGTTTGTGTATTCTTATATTTTTATGTTTTCATTCTTCTCTAGGGTGCACTGCTGACTCATCTCCACAAGACTTTCTCTACTGTCATAGAAACCTCTTCTCCCTAGAAGCTCACTCCACCCCAAACTACTTCTTACATTGAAGTACCCTCCACAATATGTTTTCCATGACTTCATGTGTATAATCAATATCAAATTACCTACCTTTTCAAGGAGAAAGGAGAGGTGGGAGAGAGGGAGAGAATTTGGAACTCAAAATTTTTTAAAATTAATGTTATTATTTGGAAATATTTAGCAAAATAAATAAAAATATATTAACAAAAATAAAACTATTAAAAGCATAATATAAAAAAAAGGAAGTGCTCTCCACCCTTGTGGCCTCTCCTTCTGATTGACTGGTTCCTCTCTCCAGTTTAAGGAGATACATATTAGTATATTATTATAATGACTATACTATATAAAACATAATATATATTATGTTATAATACATATAATTTATATAAATTACATATAATATAGATATATATTAATATAATTACTATACTAACCAAATTTTCAAAGGCATACTTTACAGAACTTGGTTGAAAAATAAAATTTATTTGGAGAAACAAATGATGTAGAATATCAAGGGGAATACTTTAAAAGATATAGATGGAGGGGTAATAGTTCTTCCAGACCTCAAAACAGATTATAAAGCAGGGTCATCTATTTTTAAAAAACAGAGAAGAAAATTAATGGAACAAACTAAACAAATATAGATATATAGAGATAAACATATACCAAAAAGACCAAAAATCAATAGCCAATACATAAGTGGTTAAAATACGTGAACAAGCAGTTTAAAAAAAAACAACTAATTTCAAACTGTTAATAACCATATGAAAGAATGTTCTAAATTACTACGAAAAACTCAAATCAAAACAACTCTGAGGTTGTTTTGATACACAGAAAATTGGCAAAGTTTACAAAACATAAGAGTAGTCAATATTGAAGAAGATACAAAAGTTCAAGAACATTAATAGGTATGCTTAAAACACATCTTGGAGCTATGAAATAATATAATCATTTTGGGAAGCAATTTGGAATTATGCTAATAATGTGATTAAAATGTCCATACCCTTTTAAGCCACAGACTCTATTATTAGGCCTAGAGTAGACTCTAAGAAAGCCAATAATAATAATAATAATAATAATAATAATAATAACCCATACTCCAAAATATTTATAGCAGTACTTTACACGATAACTATGAGTTGGAAACAAAGTAGATACCTATCAACTGGGAAATGGCTAAACAAATCACGGTATATAATGTAATGGAATATTACTGTGCTGTAAGAAATGATGAGTGTGATAATACAGACAAGCAGGAAAGAGCTATATGAACTGATGAAAAGTGAAGTAAGCAGAGCCAAGAAAACAATATACACAGTAACTACAACAATGTAAATGGAAAAAATAAATACATATCCCCCCCAAAATCAAAAGTAAATGTGACAAAATTACAAAGATTCAGTAGGACTTAAATGAAGAGATATGAAAAAACATCCTGACCTACCTGTTTATGAAAGTCTACAAGTGTTACGCATTGCACCTATTTTCAACCTATCAATCAGTTGTACTGATAATTTTTTTTTCTCACTAAAAATACTATTTGTCATATGGGAAGGCTGTCTGGGAGGGGAGGAGAAGGGATATTTGGAATAACCATGGTGGAAAAAAAAAACAGAAAATATCAATAAAAACTTATTTAAAAAAAGAAAAAGGGAGTTTGGGGTGCAAGATCTATGTAGCAATAAAATAGAAACCATTTGGAAGAAAGAACCTAAAGTAGGTTTAATCCCTACTTTTAGGAAATAATTAAATTTTTTAAATTATTATTTAATTAATAATTAATAAAAAACTAAAAAAGGATTAAATAAGCTTATGAACCACAAATTAAAAAATAAAAGTCTGCAATAGATAGAAAGGGAAGAGGTTAGTGACGTACTCAGGGTCACAGGCTAGTTAAGAATCTGAGGAAAAATTTGAATCCAAGTCCAGAACTCTATTCACTTTGCTCCATTGTCTCTCCAGAGAGGTGGGCAGTCGACAGCTGCAGAGCAATCCAACAATTAGACGTGATCTCTATATCATCAGATTTTGCTTAACTCTTTTTCTTTGTTACAAAGAAAGTGCTTTGAAGATTCTGTGTTTCTACTGAAAAATGTCTGTGGCTTATGAACCAAAAGATACCAATTTTAAAATCCTACAGATAGGGCAAATGTCTTAAGCCATGCCCCCACTTCCCCAAAGAGGATCATCGTAGAATCTCTGCATTGGAAAGGACCTCTGAAGCCTCTAGTTTGGTCATATATGAATGGCATGTGACATATGACATATCTGAATTAAAATGTTAATAAATGTTCATTTAGACTTTGCTTGAAGACCTCCAATGAGAGGAAACCAATTAACTTCTGAGGCACCCCACATTTTGACACCTTTAATTAGGAAGTTTGTCTTCACATTAAACCCAAATCTGCCTCTTTACAACTTCTACCCAAGCTTTAATAATAATAGCTAGCATTTATATAGTTCTTTAAGATTTACAAAGCACTCTAGAAATGACTAAATTAAAAACAAAAGTGACTCATAAAATTTAAAAGAAAAATACCTTGTTGTAAGTATTGGATGCCAGAACAGATAACCTCCCTAAGACGAGTTGAACAAATGCCAATATGTTACAATGGAGTAGAAGGTTCATAGGTATAGCAGGCTACCTCTTTGTCTACTATTTTCTGCTCAATGAAAAACTAAAAAAGTAATACATTTTTTGTTTGCCCTGTGGGACAATATTGTTATGCTGACAGGGAAATGTGTTGGGAACTAGAGGTGGGAGTTGAGGATGATTGAGTGTCCTTCTATGCAGATATTTAGACAATTGGCTGAAGAATATCATCTTCTACTTTCCTACCAATTTGAGCCCTATGCTTCAATAACTCATATTAACAAATGCTTTCTGTGGGTAGAATCCATCTGAGAAGCTAGACAAACCAGTCTCAGACCAGTATGCTGGAGCAAAGAAAGATCTCATCATTCATTTGCATGGAACAGCTTCACACACCCATATGAAAGCCTCTCCCTTCATTACAGAGATGTTTCCAGAAATAACTGAGCAATAACTTCATTTATCAAAATATAGGACATAAAAAAATAAATATAAGACAGACTTGGAATTTTCTCTCCTCTCTAGAATAAGCAATAAGTCAAATTTTGTAGGTGGCATCAGTCAAACCATTTTCCACTCATTATCATTTTATCCAGATCAGACTCAGAGTTTTAGAATCATAGGGATCATTTAGTCTAACTTAGTCTTTTTAAAGATGTGGAAATTGAAATCTAGAGATGAAATGGCTTGTCCATGGTCACATAGTCAGAACAAAGGCTAGCTTATTAATAGAAATGGAAATAACAAACACAAATATTACATCCACAGAAAGTTAGGCACATGGTAGGCACTTAATAAAAGGCAGTTCGGTGGTGCAGTGGATAGAGTGCCTGCAGCTGACGGTCAGGAAGACCTGAGTTCAAATTTGGCTTCAGATACTTGATACTTTCTAGCTGTGTGACCCTGGGCAAGTCACTTCACTCTGTTTGCCTCCATTTCCTCATCTATAAAATGAGCTAGAGAAGGAAATGGCAAACCATTCCAGTATCTTTGCCAAGAAAACCACAAA